CAGACAGTACCTTTATCCCAGGAGCTTCCGCAGCAAACAAGAGGGTGGCCAGATGCCATTCCCTGTAAAGGCAGAAGCAATAGCTACAAAAGGCAAAAAATACAAAAATTCCAGGTGCCAGAAATCGAGTTTTGAGCCGAATATTCAGAACTTTACTTTATGTCCCTGTAATTTGAAATCACAGGATCTTTTATCTGGGTTTGTTCCTGGGTTTTTGATGTTTGTTCCTGATGGATCGGTTTCTCAAAAGAAGGTGACGCTTGAGTAGAAGTCAAGAAATTTGTTTGTGTGCCAGAAATTTCATGAAATATCTGGAGGGCACAGCTTCTCTGGTCAGGACAAAACCCAGAACTATTGCAGTGATTTGCTGCAATGATTCTCCGTATATCCACCTCTTGAGGTTTGTTCTAAAACAAAAAACAAAAAACAAAAAAACACCACAAAGTTTCTAGCAGAAGTCCCACAGTAGCCATCTTGGGAGTCTCTAAATCTCGCAACAAAGGATCAGGTCTGGACAATCAAGGACAAAATCCCGGGATCAACTGGTCTGTAGTTTTTTTCTGAAGTTCCGGGACTTTTTGTCCCTGTTTAAAACCTGTGGTTTAATGCTGTCTGGAAGTACCCTCGGTTTTCCCATCATCTTCTAAGAGTGTGCTCCTCCAGATGTTTTGGACTTAAGTTCCCACAGTTCCTAACAATTGGTAAACTGGCTGGGTTTTCTTGGTGCTGAAGTCCAAAACACCTGCAGGAGCAGAGTTAGAGAAACACTGCTCTATAATATTATCATAATTGTCCATGTATTTTATTTGTTTTTTTATAGAATTATGAGTCACGAAAAGAAAGTGCAATGCTAATTTCAGTTTCTTACCTCTCTCACTCATTTTGCATCTCATTTAAATTAACACTGCTCATTTTGTTTTCAGTTGCAGTTTAGGACTACTTTTAATTTAGCTGCTATATTGAGTTGACTTTGAAGGGTTAAGCATTGTATTAGCAGTAGTATGTAGAGCTATGTGAGTGTGATGGAGAGCAAGGACAAACTGGAAATCTCTGGCCTCCAGATGAAGCCAGAGAAAAGAAAACATGCCATGTCAAACAATCAATCGGATGTTATTTAAAAAAGATTTGGGGGGGGGGATACAAATACCAAAGGAAAGTGTCCATGCATTTGGTGTGTTTTGGAAGTCAGTGGAACTTGTCTGAATGTATCTCCCTCTATGAGCAGGCAAGGAGATTAAGATCTTCTGGGGAGGCCCTGCTCTCAATCTCGCCTTCTTCGCAGGCATGTCTGGCGGGGATGAGAGACAGGGTATTCTCAGTGCTGGCCCCTCAGCTATGGAACTCCCTCCCCAGTGAAATTAGATCAGCCCCCTCCCTCCTGACCTTTAAGAAAAGGCTAAAACATGGTTGCACGACCAAGCATTCAATGAGTAATCTAGCAGTGTAATAAGAAAGATGAAACAGTGTAAGGACAAATTGGAATGCCCACAGACTACAATATTGAATGGCATGAATTGAAATTATTGGTTTTAAAGGTATTATTATGTTTTAATGATTGTTTTAATGCTTATGTTTTTATTATGTGTGTGTTTTTGGCAACCAATTATTGCCTATATATGTAAGTTTCCTTGAGTCCCCTACAGGGTTGAGAAGGGTGGGGTATAAATACAGTAAATAAATTAATACCTAAACACTACTGTAGTAATTTAGGAAGAAAGTACTTTAAAAACATTGGTATTGATCTTGCTGTATTGAGTACTGAATTCTTCATATGGTGTGGAAAGCAGAAAATGTATAGTCCACATGTCTACTGAATCTATTCTTCTTTCCGTGTGTGATGACTTAATGTGTAATTAAATTAACATGCATGCACAATGACAAACAATATAGGGAGTAGTATGCACTTTCAAATACCATGTTTTTTTTCTTTCAAAGGGTCTGTTGGCAAATTTTTATATGGATACAAGATTGATCTGGAACTACTTACGATGTGTATAAAAACATTATATTATAAAGTGAATGCTTTGCTTTTATATGTGCCAAAATATACATTTAGTTGAGCCTAAAAATACATTTTACATAAACTTCATGTGGGCTTCCTCATGAGTCTGGAATGGCTCCCTATGAATCCTTGCCTTGCCCCACACATTACTTTTAATGTGTTGCACAGATGGGATTCAAATAATAGGCATAGTTGCTTCTTAGGTTGCAATGTCAATTGAACATTTTATCTTAAAGCAAGTAAAGACCACAGTAAAATTGTTGTATGTGGGGAGCCATTAAACTGGCTGTTTATTTATTGTGTCAGAAGCAAATTGAGAATAAGCAAATTGAGTATCGTAAGCTGGTTGTGCTGATAGAATTGCCCCGGTTGAAGGAGCAGAGGAGCAATCTCCTTCAGTCCTGCAGATTGTCCTATCTCACATCCTACAGACATTCTCCAGATGGCTGAGACAACCCATGGGACTGGTTTTTAGGTGGCAAGGACAGCCTCAGAAGAAAGATGGGAAGAAAGTTAATTCATTTTTGTGTTTAGACACCAATTTAACACTGAAAATTTCTGTTGTCATTCTTGCTGTTCCCTGTCGTTAGTGTCCCTGCAATGGAATTCTCTCTTTTTAGAGGCCTGATTGGTTCCAATGTTGGCTTAATTTTGGTGTCAAGTTAAAATATTTTTATTGAAGCATTTGGAGGGTCTAATGATTTTATTCCGCTATTATGGTAAGCCCTCTTTATCCACTGATTCTACACCCACAGATTTTATTATCCACCGCTTGAAAATATTTTTTAAATCCAAAAATAAAATCTGAGCCCACTGTACATGCTTAGAATTTTTTTAAAAAAAATCTTTATCTTACTATATTTAAAATATTGTCAAACTGTGTATCTTGTATTGTTTTAATTTTGATTTGTTTGGTTGATTTTATTATATACTGCCCTGAGATCTTAAGACAGTGGTTCTCAACCTATGCATCTGCAGGTGTTTTGGCCTGCAACTCCTAGAAATCCCAGCCAGTTTTCCAGCTGTTAGGATTTCTGGAAGTTGAAGGCCAAAACATCTGGGTACCCACAGGTTGGATCCACTGTCTTGAGAGGAGCTGAGTTGGTATGTGTCAGCCCAGGAAATGTTACTTCCACACAGTCATATAACCCAGAATATCAAGGCGGTTAATCCACAATATCTGCTTTTAACTGGATTATCTGAGTCCACATTGCCTTATAATCCAGTTAAAAACAGATAATGTGGGATTTTATATAGCTGGGTGGAAGGGACCTTAGTTATACAGATGTAACTAAGTAGCTAATCAGGACATGTGAATTGTAAATAAATACACAAATAAATGCAACAGCAATTACTGCTTCAATTTTTCTCATGACCTTTCTCAAAAGAGCGCTGGGCAGGTGGAAAAATCTACCCCCCCCCCCCCCGGCACTTCCAAATTGACATCCTTGGAAATTACTTCTCTTTCATTGATAAGATAGGGATAGTAGCTGTACAGAAGTTGATTATGAATTGTATGATTTTAACTGTATTTGTGTTTAGATTGGCTGCAGTAATGCTGGAGCGGCCTAAGTGAGAGGAGTGCGTTGCCATGGAGACGATGTAGGCTAGAGAGAGAAGTGGGAGGAGCTTAGAGGGGAGAGTTTGAAAAACGACAGTTTATGTTCAGTTAGGGTTTGGAGCTCGGAGTGAGCAGTTCCAGTTAGGAGGTCGATTCAGTCAGCCGTCGGAGATAGTAGTTTAGTGGAAGAGCAGTGAGAGGGAATAGCAGTAGGTTTTCCAGCCTAGGAAGGCGGGAGGGAGAAACCTAGATAGTTTCTTTAGTCAGGGAAGGCTAAAGAAAGCTAGTTAAGATCGCTAGTCGAGAGAAGACTAGAGATCAGTAGTTTGATCAAGGACAGATCAAATTAGAAAGCTATTCACCTCAGGAAACATTGCTCAGCAAAGTGCTACATTTCACTAACAGTTGCTATAAGCTGTATCATTTGAAAGAGTGTTACTTAAAGTTCCAGAAGTCATTCAACAACTCGTAACCACACGCTTTGTACAAAATAAACTTGTTCTCTTTTGTTGAAGACCGTTTCATCTCAGTCAATCTGCGTCTGTGAAGCCAAATCTTATCATTGATGACCCATATACCTCACGATTGGTGGCAGCTACCCTAGTTTACAATATATTCTTTCCAATAAGTGAGGCCTGAGTTTAATTCCCTCCTTGATCATATATGCGCCTCGTTACAATAGCAATCCATTTGACAAGGTGGTTGTGATTATGGGAACAAACAGGCTTTGTACTTAATAAGGTAATTGTGCACATCTGATATTTGAAAAATCTTAAGACAAATAAACCTGAATGTTTATGTGTGTGGTTCAAATATTCTATTTAAAGATTTTTTTCCTCTGGTAATTCATTTTGGGCAAACTTTGGCCCTCCCAAGTGTTTTTGCCTTCAACTCCCACAATTGGCATTGTGGGAGTTGAAGTCCGAAACACCTGGAGGGCCAAAGTTTGCCCATACCTGGATTAGAACAACAAACAGTTTGGGAATTCTGTTTGGAATATCGCACTAAGGACTATTGGCACTAAAATTATATGAAGAGATTCTTTGTTACGCATGCATAGCCAGTTTGGTCAATGACCATTTTCTGAGAGGATAGTCTTGAAAAGTAACTTTTCCAAACTGTTCCTTGTATCCTGCGATCTTAAAGTTGTAGTTAAGATTTTGTATGAAAAAAATGTTGTTTTTTTAAGTCAAAGCATTGCAAGGAAGCTTTATGCCATCTAGTGGTGTATATATATGCATAACATGAACAGACTTGAAAAGATTTTAAGCCTTGCATTTTGATCATTTGGAAAGTGAGCTACTGTATTTTGGAATATGTTGCACTTTGAACATTATTTTGACTTTTTTACTTTTTGGATTTTTCATAGAAATAGACTTTCAGTGTTTTAAAATGAAACTCAGTTGTCTTTCTCTCCCCGCTTTGTGTCCAATGCAGGCATGGAGAGTGCAATCACACTGTGGCAGTTCCTGTTGCAGTTGCTTCTTGACCAGAAACATGAGCATCTGATTTGCTGGACATCCAATGACGGTGAATTCAAGCTGCTTAAGGCAGAAGAAGTGGCAAAGTTGTGGGGACTCAGAAAAAACAAAACTAATATGAACTACGACAAGTTGAGCAGAGCTCTGAGATACTATTATGATAAGGTATATATTCAAAATTCTAGTAGTTGACACTATATATTGTATACTGAAGTTATTTTCAAATGTCCTCCCTTGAGAACACCTGTCATTTAGAAAATGGAACATCTGAAGAAACGTAAATATATTTCTCCCCTCTTGTATTAGTTTGCTACTTGATTAGAGTGCCTATTTTCAAATATGTGATCTACATTCAATATTATGCTATTGGGAGGGTTAGCATGCCTTTTCCTTTCCGCCATACCCCTCAACACCACTCAAAAAGCAGATTTGGAGGGTTTCCCAGTTCCTCACTGATTTTGGGTTTGCATAACAGGCTGTAAGTGGAGAGGATTTGCTGTCAGAGGCATTCTGTCAGAGGAACCAGCTTATTGAATCCTAGGCTCTGTCAATTTCTTTCACTTGGAATCTGAAACAAGTAAGAAACAAGAGTTATTAGAGATTGTCAGTGCAACTGTGATTCAAAGGCGTGCCAGATGTAAGAGATTTGAATTAGGGACAGGTCTTTTCCTCTGGTAGAAATGTTCTTCCCTTGGCTTACTTCAAAGATCTCCTGACAGAATGCTGGCAGAACTGCCCTGTTGACAAAAGAGGGAGAAAAAAGGCAGATAAATGGTGGGGCAAAAGGGAAAAAGGTTAGATCAGATGCACCTTTCTCTACACCAGAAATACAGCCACAATGAAGACACAAAGTTAGACTTGATGGTATTCCTAAGCCATTTCTAATTTCCCTAGTCTGGGAGAGTTTGGATTCCTCAAGGCTTGATAGCCTTAGTCTCGGCTCAGCAAATAGAAGCAGAGCTCCCGGTGCTGGCAGGACTGCTGACCAACAGGTCAGTGGTTTCAATCTGGGGAGAGTGGATTGAGCTCCCTCTGTCAGCTCCAGCTCTCCATGCAGCGACATTATAGAAGTCTCTCACAAGGATGGTAAAACATTAAACATCTGGGCGTCCCCGGGGCAACATCCTTGCAGACAGCCAATTCTCTCACACTAGAAGCAACTTGCAGTTTCTCAAATCTCTCCTGACATGAAAAAGAGCAAGTAGAAGCAAAGTAGATATGTTGTGCAAAGGAATCCCTTAATTGCTTTGGGTGTGATGCTTCAATTGCACTTCAACACCAAGTAGCTGTAGATAGGGTGCATTTTCAACATCAAGAAATGTATTTTCAACATCAATTCCTCACTGCCTGAATTGGAGGTTGAATGATTTCAACACTCAGCTTTTGAAATAATTTCACACATTAATACTTTATAAGAGGCACATTCAACCTGTGGAGGTGCTAAGTTTTATTTATTCACTGTGTACAGAGATCCACAAATGGCACTGTCATTTATGTATCAGTGGTATTTCTCCCTGTAGTTCTTATGTCTCCTGGACTCAGGCTCTGATAGAGTGGGCAAAGTACATCCTGTGGGCGTCATGCAGCCCCAGGGCTGTTTTTGTGGTTCTCAAATGGTCTTTAGAGCAGTGGTTCTCAACCTGTGGGTCCCCAGATGTTTTGGCATTCAGCTCCCAGAAATCCTAACAGCTGGTAAACTTGCTGGGATTTCTGGGGATCCACGGGTTGAGGACCACTGCTCCAGAGGCATTTCAAGCAAGAGGTGAACAGGATGTGACTTTCACTCCTTTGTTAAAAAAAGAAACTTCTTTGGGCCTAAAATCTCCAGGGTTATGTCTCCTGAGATATAGTAAAAATGATTCTCATGCCTCAAGGACACTTGTTGCATTTTTTTTTCCTTTGGAAGCATGTAGTACAGGGTTGCAACTCTCCAAGATCTCCCAGTGAACTAATGTATCCCCTTGACTTCCCATAGTTTCTGTCTCCTGGGCTCAGATCTCTGATAAGGGGAACCCAGCTCCTCATAATTTTGGGCTCAGATCTTTCCAACCAGATCTTTTAAAATGGATTGCTAGGGATTGAACCCTTTCCTTCTGCATGATAAGTTGTGTGCTTTGCTACTTTGTTAAGTCGCTGTTCCCTCCCTTATCTTGATTTGGTGTTTTATGCAGAACATCATCAAGAAGGTGATTGGGCAGAAGTTTGTGTACAAGTTTGTGTCGTTCCCTGACATTTTAAAGATGGATCCTCATGCTGTGGAGATCAGCAGGGAGAGCCTTTTGCTGCAGGACAGCGACTGCAATATACCTCTGGAGAACAGAGAACAACACAAGCATGGGCTGTCAGTCCTGAAAAGCACAAGCCGTAATGAATATATCCATTCAGGGCTGTATTCTTCATTCACCATCAACTCCCTGCAAAACCAGCCAGAAAACCTCAAGCAAATTAAAACAGAAAAGATGGAGGAGAAATTGGAAGAGACCACAACTCCCTTGGAAGAAGTCCGGACTGTCATAAGATTTGTGACCAACAAAACAGACAAGCAAGTCATGAGGCCCATAGTGTCGTTGCCATCAACCTCTGAGGCTGCTGCTGCTTCGGCTTTTTTGGCATCCTCTGTCTCTGCAAAAATATCATCGTTAATGTTGCCCAATGCAGCCAGCATCTCCTCAGCTTCACCGTCTTCCTCTCGGTCGCCATCTCTGTCTCCTACTTCACCCCTCCCTTCAGAACACAGAAACATCTTTTTGGAGTCCAGCTGCCAGGATTCTGATTCACTTGAGCCACTGAATCTCTCATCAGGATCCAAAGTGAAATCTCATTCTCTTCCTCCAAAGGCTAAGAAACCCAAAGGTTTGGAGATCTCAGCACCTCCAATGGTTCTCTCAAGCACTGACCTCGGCTCTATTGCCCTCAACAGTCCTGCCCTCCCTTCGGGATCTCTGACTCCTGCTTTCTTCACTGCCCAGGTAAGTCCTGAACATTTCCAGTGACTTTCTTCATTCCCCCAGCTTTTTTTCTAAGTGAGAAATTTTTCTTTGTGAGTTCTCTTGTTATGCTCTGTTTGCTTCTTCAGGCATATGCATATGCATATGAAACTAAAAGAGCAATACTAACCATACACCAATACTTATCATCCGGGGAGGCCCTGCTCTCAGTCCCACTGCCATCACAGTTGTGTTTGGTGGGAATGAGAGACAGGACCTTCTCTGTGGTGGCCCCTTGGCTGTGGAACTCCCTCCCCAATGAGGTTAGATCTGCCCCCTCCCTCCTGACCTTCCGGAAGAACCTTAAATCCTGGTTAAGGGATCAAGGGTTCACAGAATAGTTTGTTTACTGGGAAAGACAAGATTTATTGGACCAGACTTGGACTGCTTTGGATGATTATTTTAATTCTGGCGATTTTAATCTGGCGAGTGGGTTCTTAATGTATATTTAATTTTAATTTTGTGGATATATTTATTATGTGTTTTATATTATGTTTGGCATCAAATTGCTGCTTGTTTGGAAGCTGTTCTAAGTCCCTCCGCAGAGGTCAAGAAGGACAGGGTATAAATGTTTTAAATTATACACACACATACACACACACACTTATGGGCAGTTTTTCCATTAAAATCCTCCAAGTATTGCACAATCATAAACTTTCAAACTACATAACAATAAAAATTAAGAACATCGTTATCACAAACAAAACAAATAGCAGCAACAGCAAAAACATTACAGAAGGCATCAATAAAAATCTGTAAAGTGAGCAATTCTGAAAAGCATAGTCACATCCAAACCATAGATAATAATAAGGGTTTAATCTAAATGAGTTTTAAATCTGCTTGGAAAGGATATTCTAAAGAGGGGCACCATTAGCCGTGCTTACCTGAAAAACTTTCCAGGCATTCCCTGCCTGATCAGAATAAATCAGTTTTCCCCAACTTGATACTTTCCAGTGTGTTGGTCTATGATTCTAATATACTCCAGTGAATGAAAGGCCAGTTTATTAGAGTTATATTCCAGATCATCTAGAGGATGTGGAAAGTTGGAGTAAACTAACTACAGTAGCCAGAAGGATTGTAAACCAAATAAACCCAGATAGCCCTTAGCACAAACTTATTGAAAGTAGTTTGAGCATATTCAGAAGGCTGAACAAATAAATAAAAGGATGGGAGTTATACACTGAAGAGTAATTTTTCTGGTACTTATAAAAGGTTACCTTTCATTAGCTTATAGAGCAGATCACATAAATAGTTTTAAAGGAAGGATTTGTAAACCTATTTCCGTTTCAAAGATTTTGGAGGATKAAAACGTAATGGTGCTCCATGCAGTCAGTGGTTCTCAACCTGTAGGTCCCCAGATGTGTTGGCCTTCAACTCCCAGAAATCCTAACAGCTGGTAAACTGGCTGGGATTTCTGAAAGGAGCCAAAATACCTGGAGACCCACAGGTTGAGAACCACTGACCTTGGAAGTGTCCATGGATGACGCCGGCTCTTCGACTTAGAAATGGAGATGAGCACCACCACCCCAAGTCAGACACGACTAAACTCAATGTCAAGGTGAAACCTTTACCTTTAGAGTTACTAGTGCTAGATTAAGAAATCATGAAGTTAGACTTCATTACTAAAGAAATCATCATCATATCATCATCAACAGCTTTGTCTCAAAGAATTATAGAATTCGAAGAGACCTCAAGGGCCATCCAGCCACAATTTCTGAAGATCTCAGGGGCAGCGTATGATATAATTAATATAAACAGTTCAAAATAGTACGAATAATTGAAACCAACTACTGTAAATCATATTAAATATTTTGACAAGTTTAAGCAAGACTATTTAAAACAACTTAAAGCCAAATGTGTGAGTATTTGGATGTAATCAAGGAAGAACCCAAGAGACTTAGTAAAAATCTGTGTTTTCACTTGGTATTGGAATGACATCAGTGTTGGCACCAATCAGGCCTCTAAAAGGGGGGCATATGTACATGGTGCCCACAACACAGAACACTCTTCCACAGGGTGTTGCCCCCACTTGTGGGACACATAATTTCTCAGGACCCTTCCACACGGCCATTATGTCCCAGGATCTGATCCCAGATTATTTGCTTTAAACTGAATTATGAGTCTCCACTTCCAGAAAACCTGGGATAAGCAGATAACATGGGGTCGGAATTCTGGGATATAGGGATAGTATGGAAGGGTCCTCAGTCCTCAGGCAGGTATATACAGGCATAAATTGACTATAGTTTAGAACTATAGCTTATTCAAAAGCTTACTAGTAACATTTGGTTTAGTGCTTGTCACCTGTGCTAATTTGTGTTCATATAGTCCAAATTATGTGAATAAAAGAATGGAATGAAAGTATATGACACACAATCGAAAAGTTGCTGTTGCAAAACAATATACATTCAATTGAGTTCAATTGTGCTTACTTCCTGATATATTCACATAGGATTGCAGCCTCTGTCTTTTACAGATGCTCTATTAAAACTATTTATCATGCATTATTCAAGTGATTCCCTCTGGATCAAAGGAGTTAGTTCTAATATCATAGATCGAGATCTTCTGGGATGCTCTGGGGTTATACCACAAGCATAGAGAGGAATGATGCTTAATTAATACCTTGCCACAGCAAATGAGTCACTATGTTTGGATATCTGCTAGCATCTTAAAAACGTAATTTCAAATGACTGCAGCACCTTAGATCATATTCACATAGGATTGCAGCCAATTGTAAAACATCATAGATAATATGAAGCTGTAAAAGTTCTTAGATAGTATGAAGTCATAAAATGTCATATAGTACTGGCTGGCGCCTTGGTGCATCTAACTTATCTCTATCTAACTCACTCTTTTGATCATTGAGGAGCTTGGAATTCTCAGCTTCTTTCACAGAACAAGTAATCTTCCTCTAAACCCATGTTTTTTCATGCTGCTCACCACTGGCTTGACCATGTAGTGCTTGGGGACACTGGAGGATGTCTTGGAAGTAGGCATAGGGACAGAGCCATATGTATGGTGACGTCCCATAGGATGTCTTCCTGTCACAGCATGATAGAGTCTATTAGAGTTGGAAGGGGCCATCAGGGCCATCTGCCACTGTTGACACATACTGTCTAGGTCTTTGCATTTTCAGTAGAAATGGATAAACTATTCCCTGGAGTGTGGCGGAGGCTCCTTCTTTGGAGGCTTTTAAACAGAGGCTGGATGGCCATCTGTTGGCTTTGAATGCAATTTTCCTGCTTCTTGGCAGGGGATTGGACTGGATGGCCCATGAGGTCTCTTCCAACTCTATGATTCTATGATTTGTCGATCTTCAGACCATGACTCGCTAAATGTGATTCCCCAAACCTAAAACAAGTCCTGAGATCTCTCTTTACAGAGAGACGCAAGCAAAGCCTCCTACTCAGTTTGGATAGCACATGAAGATCTCTCTCTTTTTTTTTTGAAGTACTCCTCCTATCGATGGCAGTGACAGCTAGTTTCTGGCTTGTCATGATATCCAGGTGTCCCAGTATGGAAATTAACACAGAAAGATGCTGTGGTGTAGTTACATTGCTTTTAAGTGGTAAGTTCAGACATAACAGAGGCGAAAAGTTACCAACTTATTATTATTATTATTACTAAACATTTTCATTTTTTTTACACAAACACAAAGAAGTGGAAAAGTCAAGTGGAAAAGAAAAGGAAAAAGAAAAAAATATAAAGGAGGGGATGGGAATAATGGAGTTATTGTTAATAATTTAAATCTTTGCCAATATCTAATATCTAAGAGTTACCAATTTTAAACTGACCCCAATAGCAGAGATTGTAAACGACAGTTTCAATTACAGCAGTTTGTCAACTCATGTTGTGAATACATTTGCTTTCTAATTGCCTTTAAAAGAAAATATAAACCAGGTCAGGCTATTTTTTAAAAATCTTAACTAGTTGGCAACTGTCAAAACAGCGTAGACTGCTAGAAGATTAATTACATTTTTTGTGTGTTGCTGACACTGTGGCCTTTCTCAAACAAAATATGAAATGACATGTTTAGGTCAAGTTGTTTTCTTTAATCACTAAGTGTTTTCTAGTGTTCCAAATAAGAAAAGTTGACTTCTTAAGGGTAGAGTGAGTGTACATACAGCTGTCTTTTTCTGTTGGTTTAAGCATTAAAGGTAAAGATTTCCCCTTGAAATTAAGTCTAGTCGAGTCTGACTCTAGGGTGTGGTGCTCATCTCCATTTCTAAGCCGAAGAGCTGGCATTGTCTGCAGACATCTCCTAGGTCAGTGGTTCCCAACCTTTTTTGACCAGGGACCAATTTGACAAGAGACAACTTGACCAGGGACTATTTGAACAGGGACCACTTTCCAACATTAGTACCCAAAGGATTATGAATCCATTTTTGGGGTGCTGATTCAGAAAATTGTATTAGCTAGACCACAACCATTGTAGTTTCTGATACAGAACATGTGTCGTGGTCAGCAACAGGGAAAGAGTGGCAGGCATCTCAAAAAGAGTGGAAATGAAATAAATAAAAGAAAGAAAGAAAGGAGGAGGAGGCTTGCGGACCAGAATTTTGTTCTCGCGGCCCACTGGGGGTCCGTGGCCCACAGGTTAAGAACCACTGTCCTAGGTCATGTGGCCGGCATGACTGCATGGTGCTCAGTTACCTTCCCGCCAAAGTGGTACCTATTTATCTCACATTTGCATGTTTTAGAACTTCTAGGTTGTCGGAAGCTGGGACTAACAAAGGGAACTCACCCCATCCCATAGATTCGAACGGCCGACCTTCTGGTCAGCAAGTCCTGCAGCTTAGTGGTTTAAACATTCAGTGGCTTTAATTTGGGAACTTCTGTCAGAATCCCAAGCAATGCTACTTGTGCTAACCATGGCAACTGGCTAGTACACTAAAAAACTACTGCATATTGGGTTTGCTTTTTGGTGGTGAGAAAAATTTAACACATAGCTTCAGCCAAATAGGTTTAATATAATAACATGAATA